TTTTCCGTGATCATTTTGATACCCGTATCTCAAAATGTGTAAAAAATTCATTTAAGCGGCTTTGTTTGCATGTCCCAGAGGTGAGCGGTTTTGTTCGAGGGTTGCAGAGGTAAGCGGGTTTGTTTCCAGTCCTCGGAGGTAAGCGATTGTTCTTCTCAGGTGTCGCCGGAATTTTTACGATTGGACGCCTCCTTGTACGTTCGCCTTTATGTGCAAACGTGGTCATTTTCACCGTATTTTTGTCGAAAAACACACTCTAGCACCCAAACGGTGCAAGAGAGAGTAAAACGGACAAAATTTTCGCTCACAGGACTCTACTTTAACGAGTTACCCCTTAGAAAACCACAAGAAAATGATCGTTTTATACTTTTTGGACCAACCCCTATTTCTCTGTCACCCCCTTTCACCCCCCTAGGGATGGTTGCCAGGATTCGCACCAGGCGTTTCGTTGTCCAGGAGTGACCCCTAAGATAGCCTGAAATTTGTAGATCTCTAGCTCACCTTCTTCCTCTTACACGGACGACGGACGGACACGATAGCGGTTGCATAAGCCCGCTTTAATGCTTTTTTAAAAGCAGAAGGGTGGGCTAAAAACAGAAAAGTTACACAGGAGCCTTTTCATAGCACAGTCGCCTTTTGTGAGTAAAACAAACCCCATACGCCAGCCATTCCCAGAGCTACGGACGGATGTTCCCATACGTTACGGATTCAATTGTCACCACCTGGGCCTCTCCTTGTGCCATGAATTCAACTCCATTACGGATTAGCTTATTCATGATTAACAAAAATGGCTGTCGCCACACAGTGCTTCTCTCATTGCGTCCCCATCAATCCGATGCATTTCCTCCGTTGGCGTTGGCACCCTGCCTATCTGCCACCACATCTCACGTGTACCCTCTGCATGTGCTATCAGTACCAGGTGTCTGCGCGTTTGCGACAGTACGAATAGCAAAACTTTTATTTCTTCGGGCAAATTTTCCCAAAAAAGAACCGTGACCCGCCGAAATGAGAAAGTCGATGCCTCCTAACGACAAAGTTCGATCTTCAGCGGCACGGTTACACAAAGTTCGATCTTCATCGGCACGGTTACACAAAGTTCGATGTGCAGCGGCACGGTTACACAAAGTTCGATCTGCTTTTCGCCGCTCGCCGAAGCCGCAAGTTTAGACCTCTACTACAGTCTTGTTGTGATAGCATTCAATTTTTTCTTTGGAGTATGTTGTTCTTTGATCTTTAACAAACATGAAGCAGTTTTTGCTTTTTTTCTATCTCCAATATTGACGAGAATATGAATTTATTTAGGCTGCGCTGCAGAAACCGCCGGTATGTAGATCGAACTTTGTGTAACCGGGCCGCCGCAGATCGAACTTTGTGTAACCGGGCCGCTGAAGATCGAACTTTGTGTAACCGTGCCGCTGAAGATCGAACTTTGTGTAACCGTGCCGCTGAAGATCGAACTTTGTCGTTAGGAGGCATCGAAGTGCTCTGTACTTGTATTTTTATTTCCAGATTCCAGATTCAGACGTAATGATTGACCCGTCCGTCATGGTTTGGATCCCCGTGTGGCAGGCCATGCACGACCCTGACATTTTTCCTGAGCCTGAGCGCTTCGACCCAGACCGCTTCACCGAAGAGGCCAAGAAGAGCCGACACCAGTACAACTACCTGCCCTTCGGAAAAGGACCACGATTCTGCGTTGCCGAACGATTCGCAATTCTTGAAATGAAGCTGTGCCTGGCTGGGCTATTGCAGCAGCATGAGTTTGACGTCGGTAGTAAGACTGACGTCAAGCTCAAATTGGATCCCAATACGCCCGGTCCCACGCCACAGAATGGTTTCTGGCTTCACGTGACAGAAAGGCAGACATCAGCCTAATGATTACTCGATCGAAGGGAGTTAATGTATGCAATTAAAGCCTGTAATGATAACTAGTTTACTAAATGATTCTTCTGATCTGAAAAATGGAGTAGTAGTCATTGTTACAGATTTACTTGATTTGACTTGAATTTACTAATTCTTGATTCAATAGAATCATGTCACTTTCTGACAGAGCGTTCAGGGTAGACTTGTCAAATGAAAGAGTTGTTCATGTCTGAAGGAAGTCTTTACTAGAACTGAAGTAGCAGGAGTGGATTACATAAAAGGAAAACTAGTAACTGCCAATAATGAATTTTGAGTGTGAATAAAAACTAATGCCAACTATAACAACTTTCCCCCTCTTGAATTGAATTTACATACAAACAATGAATTTTTGAAGAGAAGTAGTAGCAATGTACATAAATCAAGGGAGGAGTTCATTAATAAAAGCAAAGCAAAAAGTTATACAATCAAAAGGCAGTTTGTAAAAAATACAAATCATAGTTGATAAGACAATCAGAGAAATGCACAATACAAATTGTAAAATATGTTTAACATATCAAAATAGTTAATTGAAATAGAGAAGTATTAACATGAAAAAATTATTTTTATTTAAAAAATACAAGTTAAAAAAATGATTAAAAAAACAATCACAGTTTAACAAAGTAATCCCGGTAGCGGGAAGGCAAACCAGCATTGCGCTGTGGTCTGCTAGAAGGTACAGCAGTTTGAAATAACTTTCTCGGCGGCATTCTCTCCGCAGAAGAAGTTGGATTAGAAGCCGTCAGAATAGGAGTAGCTTTCGCAGGAGTTGCTGACGAAGATTGCACACTTGGAACTTGTGTTGCAAGCTCTCCCGGTGATGATGCCACAGGAGTAGAATTGTTGGCAGAATTTATCACGGGAACTGGAGTGGGATTTTGAACTAGGAATTGTTCATTTTCTGGTATTTCAATAGCAGGTCGAGGTAAAGCCTTCAAGCTAATTGGTTCAGCCAGTGGATCTCGGTCAAACAGGTGCTCTGATGAGGTATGCCTCAGTCGGCCGTTCAACTCGATGTCATAGTAGTTTTCACTCACTTTCTTCACAATGCTAGCAGGCTTGTAAATCATTTGCTTTTCTACCTCGACTCTGACCCAGACTTTATCACCAGGCTTGAATCTTCTTTCATTCTGGTGAAGATTCTTGATCTTTTCTTGTTGAGACTGTATTCTGTTTGAGAGATGCGTCAGGGTCAGGGGATTTAATTCCGAGAGGAAACCTCTGACCTTTCTCTTGAGAACCAGCTCAGACGGAGTTTAGCCTGTGGTAGTATGAGGAGTATTCCGATAAGAGAACAGAAATGCACTGACTTGATGTGCAATGGTTCTCTTACTAGTCTCTGGACCAAGTAACTGCCTCATCAAAGTCTTCTTGAAGTTCTTCACCATGTTCTCTGCTTGCCCATTGGACGCAGGATGAGTGACAGGTGAATGCAAAAGATGACATTGATTCTTCTGTAGAAATTGACTAAACTCTTGTGAATTAAATGGTGGACCACTGTCGCAGACTAACTCGTTGGGTAAACCAAACAGAGCAAAAAGAGTTCTTAGATAGTCAATAACATCAGTGGCAGTAGTTTTCGTCATTGCTTCAACGAAAGGAAATTTGGAGTGATGATCCACTTCTACAATAAAAGTGAGACCATACTTCTTGGCGAAATCTACAAAGAGTCTTCTCCAAGGTTGTGTAGACCAATTCCATGGTCGAACTTGAACATCTTTTCTCGCATTCTGCGTGACTTGACATACACCACATTGCTTTACTAACTGCTCAATATCCTAGTCAATGTTTGGCCAATAAACATGGCTCCGAGCCAGCTGCTTCATTCTTGTCTCTCCTGGATGCTCAGCATGGAGCAAATGTAAAATTTGCGGTTGCAAGGCATATGGTATAACTACTCTTGAGCCCCACAAAATGCATCCATTTTCCATAGAAAGCTCGAGATGTTTTCTCTTGAAAAATTCGTAAGCAGGATCTTGAGCAGACTCATCAGTCCATCCATATTGTACAAAAGCCGAAACTCTTGCCTGGTTTCAACAATTCGAAGACTATTGCTTCCTCTACGATGTAGACTTTGAAGAGCCGGATGACGAAGGATTTATTGCTCATAATCGCAGAAGAGCTCTGTTCTTGTCAAAGATGGGACCCGTTGCGCATGCCACCCTAGTAAATGCCTGTTTGCCAGACCGACCAAATGAATATCCTATTGAAGAGCTAAGCGATGTACTCCGCGAACGTTTTGAGCCGCCATTCCTTATTCCAGTCAACCGTTTTCACTTTTCACAACGAGTTCAAGGAGAGCAAGAATCCGCTTCTGATTATTTTGATGCCCTAGCCACCATGGCAGAACGCTGCAATTTTGGAAATGGTCGAGACGAAGCAATCCGCGATCGAATAATCACCGGCATCCGTAACGACAGAACAAGGGCCTTACTTCTAGATGAAGTTGAACTGACTTTAGCTGATGCCAAGCGTATTGTTCAACAGTCAGAAACGGTTCGAGTTCAAGGAAGGGCCTTGGCTCAAGCTCTCCCAGTTGGAAGAGTTGTAGCCCAACCAAACCAACAGCTGAAACAGAAACCCAAGAACTGGAATCAACCAAGAAACCCAAGTAACTTCAAGCAACGGAACTTCAATCAACGGAACCCCAATCCATCAACTTCAAACCAGAAGCAGTGGAACCGACGCTACAGATGTACCAAACGACATGATGGAAGAACCTGTCCAGCAGTAAACTGGATCTGCAGCAAATGTAACAGGAAAGGCCATACGGCTCCAGCCTGCAGAAGTGTCAGCAGGGTCAATACTATTCGAGGTGAGCAACCCCAACAACCACTCACCAATCCTGCCAAACCTTCTGCTCCTTCAGGTTCTAATTCAGTTCCTTTAAACTCAATTTCCGTTGATCGAGAAGTTAACAATCTATTTGGTTTCTTGGATACCTGGCGTAACAAGCCACAATCCTAGTCATTTTTGTGATATTGCATTGGGCTGGTCCCACTCTTAGTTTTTAATCACATATTTTATATTATTTATTACTATTTTTTACTTTTATTGCGTAGGCTAATTAATTTTAATCATGCATTTCTTAATTAGGTTAATTAAAATCCCCTTTAGGTTAGGCGCCTTCCTATTTAACAAACTAGCTAGTAAAATAATAACAAGGGACATTTACCATGTCTCAGTGGGTCAAGTGACTAACAGTCCCCCACTCCTAATTAATTTGCTCATTAATAAAGTGTCAACCACAGTTGAGGTGGACACTGGTGCTCACCCTGCGGTGATGCCTTTATTATTATTCAAACAATTATTTCCAAATTTCCAACTGATTCCTTCCAATGTCAGAATGGTCACTCCAGCCGGTCCAATTTCCAATGCTGGTGAAGCTCTAGTTCAAGTGACCTTCAATCATAAAGATCATCAATTGCCTTTGCTTCTCTGTGATAATACACCAAACTTCACCCCGCTTTTAGGGCGAGTTTGGCTAGACTCTTTAATTCCTTATTGGAGAGATTTTATCTGGGATACTAAACCAGTCAACAAAGTTATTCAATACCCTTCTATTCATGAACTAACCCTTCTATTTCCTCGTGTCTTTGACACTAAGGCAGATACAGTTATTGAAGGCTACCAAGCTAGATTAACTTTAAAGGATGACTACAATCCCGTTTTTGCAAGAGCCTATACCGTAGCCTTTGACCTAGTAGATCCCTTAAACAAATTGTTTGATCAAAACATTACCGATGGCAAGTTTGTTCCTATAACTAATTCGGCTTGGGCTTCTCCTGGCATTATTGTTCAAAAAAAAGATGGTGGAATTCGGTTTTGCACCGATTTCAAAAAAACTCTAAATCCAAATTTAAGGGTTGACCATTACCCCTTGCCCAAGCCCGAAGAAGTCTTCGCCAAACTTGCCAACGGTAAAGTTTACACATCCTTAGATCTTACTGATGCCTATCAACAACTAGCCTTGCACCCTAAGTCACAAGAATTGTGTGTGGTAAATACCTACAGGGGTCTATTTAAATTAACTCGACTTATCTATGGTGTTTCTAGTGCGGCAGCAATCTTCCAATCTGTAATGGATTTAATTTTGTTAGGTCTCAATGATATAGTGTGTTATCTTGACAACATCCTCATTAAGGGCAATGACCCTCAAGATTGCCTCAACAAAACCCTACTAGCTCTCGGGCGTATAGAAAAACATAATGTTCGCATCAAGCTTTCCAAGTGTGATTGGTTTGTTAATCGCCTTGAATTTCTCGGATTTGTAATCACTCCCGAAGGGAGGTCTCTCCAGGTTTAACTACTGCAATAACTAACTTTCCTTTGCCAAAGGACCCTAAGCAGGTTCGCTCTTTTCTGGGCATGCTAAATTTTTATTGAATACTTTTACCTCAATTTTCCACCTTAGCAAAACCCTTAAGGAAGTTAACTGAAGAGAAGACCCCCTTCGTGTTTGATAGTTGATAGGAGAAAATTAGCTGTTTTCCGTCTGTTTCGAGGACACCTGATAGAGTATGAGAAATCTGTTGAGATTCAAGGTACTATGGGTCAGGGCCTATCGAATGATACCCGTGTCAAATTTATAGCTTAACTTAGTAAACCACGGCAGCCATTTATAGAATGTCCGACATTAGGGACTGAAAGTGCTGTAATTTCAGACACGTCTGTACTTTGAAAAAAACCCATGGTTATTTTTCCGCACAGGGTGCGAAATTATGCTTAAAGGTAAGGGAGGATGGGGCAGTGTGTAACAGGGGCAGTGTGTAACAGACCTCCGTATTTCGAATATGGCACGTCCGGAACCAAATGTATATGTTCTGAATGACTAAGGTCGTTTGCAATCGAGAACGCCTTGGTTGGGGAGTTGTAACGGCGGTGAGAGGACGGCCAAGTTGTGCTCATCCGATTTTTAGGCAATTTTCATCAAATTACGACATTGATCTTTTTGGTTGAGGTCGTTGGGTTACAAACACGACGGGTTCTACTAACGTTGTCCGATGTCCTTTTATTGTGCGCTCTGCAGCGCTGTCTTCTTTTAATTACCAGTGACTTAATATCGGCAGTAGAGGAATAGTGAAAATTCCCAGGTGTTCCTACAAGATTGGGGAATACATAGCCGCACATAGTTCATAAGATAGTATCCTTTAAAGCTATATTTACGGTGACAAGGAGGTTACTTAAAAAATATTTATTGGATTGTGCGGTTGAGACCACAAACTAAAATAATATGGATCCTTACCTTATGAATGCATTTCACTTCATCAATAATCGGTCCAACAACACTTTGGGGAGGGTTGAGTTGTTTGATTCACTAACAACAGTATAAGAAATCCACAGTGAAACTTTGCTCTTGCTTTCTGAAGGCAGTATAGTAGCACTTACCCCATCCCTTGTTTTGGTTGGCAACTGGGGTTATCCCAGGTTATACCCTGATGGATTCGAGAGATGGGTTTAGGATGGCGCCTCTCTGAGTGGTAGCTAGGGACGTACTAGGGATGTGATATCCTAATATGTTTCAACATGGAAGACCTAAGGATAACCTATGGATATCCTAGGGGTACCTGTTAACAGGGATTCCGTGGGGATACTTGTCCCACCTTTCCAAAGGATTGGCTTTTTGTATCCCTAGGTTATCCTTCCGCCATCCTCCTTTTCTCCCGCGAACATCCCTGGGATGTATTCCGTGGAGATACCTTCCCCACCTGTCCCTAGCGATAAGAAAGGAGTGGCTTTTTGCATCCCTCGGTTATCCTTCGCCATCCTTCTTTTCTTCCCCGAGCATCCCTAAAAAGTCCACGCCTCCGATGCTCCCCTGAATATCTACCCGGACCCCCCTCTTTGCCCGCGCGGACAAATACAGAGAAGCAAATTAAATGGTATCATTGGGTGAAGGCATAAGTTACACACATGCTTGTTAAGAAAATTATGACATATATTGAAACAAAACAAACAAATAAAAATTTGAAGCTTTGTGTAACAGGTGAAACATTTGAAAACAAAACAAATAACAATTTGAATCTTACTGAAGAATCAGTCAAATTATATATTAGTATAGGATGATGATCCTAAAGCACTTGCATGATTATAATACTACAAATTAATGTGTAATATGACACTTAAAAACAAAACAAATAAAAAAATCTGGAACTTACTGAAGTATCAGTCAAATTATACTAGTACAGGAAGATTATCCTAAAGCACTAGCATAATTAAGTTATTCAAACAAAAAAAAACAGAACTGTAACATGCCTCATGGCTTGCATGAGTTAAATCTCTAATCATATAGTCATCAGTCTTGATAGATTTGCAAACAGCCACAATAAAATAAAAATGAAAGGGTAAACGATATTTGAAAATATAAAAACAGTTTTAAGGCTGCAATTTATTGAGGTGTTGTTATTCAATATGCCACTGCTGCTTGTAGAGCTCATATCTGAGAACTCTGCTTCCTCAAGATTATTATAAATGTGTTGTTTGTCTCCATCAGCAGCAAGCTCTTTGTTGAGCTTAAACGTCTTCTTAGGGCTTTGAGTATGTTTCTGCTTACTCTTGCTCTTTTTAGAAGAGCACCGGTCATCCTTGTCCAAATCATCATCAGTGCCTTTCTTCTCAACAGATTTCTCACTCTTCTTGCGTTTCTTAGGAGAGGGTCGGTCATCCTTGTCTGAGGCATTATCAGTGCCTATCTTCTGAACAGATTTCTCACTCTTCTTGTGCTTCTTAGGAGAGAGCCAGTCATCCTTGTCTGAGTCATCATCAGTGCCTTTCTTTTCAACAGATTCCTTATTCGTCTTTTCAACTTCTTCACTTTTCTTCTGAGTCTTCTTTTTCTTGCCACCCTCTGCTGCTACGGCATCTTCCTCTCCTGGAGGCTTCTTGTATGCAGCACTGGCGACCCTTGAAATTCTTGACCTGATTTCACTCTCTCCTATGACGACTTTATAAGTCCACTTCATGTGCTGCAATATAGCTGTTGAGAAGAAATACATTGATTAATGAAATCCAATCACATTAAATTAAGAGGGCAGAGGCCACAATGTCTTTTACTTTACTGGCTTTCTGGACAGAATTTTTACAGACAAAATGGAATTATTGATAGGGCTCAGTTTTATCAGAAAGAGGAACGGTAATGCTATCCAAACAACCAAATAATACAAGTTATTTTGTTTTAAAAAAATAGTAATAATAGTGTTATGCTTAGTTTATGATAGATAAACCATAACTTGACAATCCCCGCCAATCAAAATTGTATTATTAGGTCGTCAGTTAAATTTTATTAGATAGTATTAAAGTTTCCCTTTCGCGGTCTCTTCTCGCCATGATTTGGGAGAAGACACGAATATTTTTGCGGAGGTCACAGTGGTTTCCTGTGACTAAAGGTCGAATAAAGGCACACCAACCCAGAAATCCGAAATTCTGCCTAAATAACGACTGCTAGAAAAGATTTTCCAAAAAGTGACACTATGTGCCCCACCTACCCTTACCTGATCAAGAGAGAAGAAACTACTATTGTTTGTGAGCTGTCTGTTGAAGACCTGATCTGTTTCCATAACAATGCTAACCAGTTTTAGGTTCTGGAGGACAAGCTGTCATCACTTCAAGATCAAGGATCTCGGAGAGGCTCATGAGGTGTTGGGTATGAGGATCAACCGAGACGGGAAGAAGAAGACTGCCACTATGATCACCCACTTCATCTTGCTTGGAGAAGCATGGACTGCTGGACTGCAACCCATCACACTGATACCGGTGGAGCCTGGGATGAGGATGACACCAGAGTAAACTCCACCTGCTGACCCTGAGTATCCTTCACGTTAGATTCTTGGCTCAATCATGCATTTATTCATTGCTAGCAGACCTGATCTCTCCTTCTGTGCAAGCGCCTTGAGCCAGTTCTCATCTGATCCTAGACAAGAGCATGTGGCTGTTTTGAAAACGGCACTTCGCTACCTTAAGGGCACTCAAGGCTTGAAACTTGTTTATGATGGAAATCTAAATGGCCTTTGTTCTTACTCAGATGCTGATTGGGGCAACGACCAACGACCATGACCGCAGATCCTACCCAGGAAATTGTTTCACCGTCTGTGGCGGAGCTGTGAGCTGGGAAGCCCGCAAACAGAAGTGTGTGGCACATTCATCCACCGAGGCCGAGTTCATCAGCATCTCTGAATGCGACAAGAAAGTAGTGCATCTGTCACGACTGCTGGAAGAAATTCTGGGGCAGAAAGTAACTCCCTGTGGCCATTATTTGTGACAGTCCGAGTGCTACCAGCCTGGTGCTGAATCCAGTTTACCACAAAAGAACCAAACGACGCGTCCTACGAACAAAGTTCGATCTCCCGGCGCGCCGTTCAACACTGTCCGATCTCCGGGCGCGCCGTTCAACAAAGTTCGATCTCCTGGCGCGCCGTTCAACGCTGTCCGATCTCCTTTTCGGGGTTTGCAGTGAGGTGGAAGTTTAAACGCCTCGTACGTCTGTTCGTCAAGATCATGGCATATTATTATTGGTCCAATGCGTTGCGTAATCTTTGAGGATCAAATAGAATTTATAAGTTTCATTTTAAGTGAACTATCAACGAAGATATCACGGATTGAAGCCTACGGTGCAGATAAAAGCTGAAAAGGAGATCGGACAGCGTTGAACGGCGCGCCAGGAGGTCGAACTTTGTTGAACGGCGCGCCCGGAGATCGGACAGTGTTGAACGGTGCGCCGGGAGATCGAACTTTGTTCGTAGGACGCGTCGCAAACATGTTCGATGCCTTCTAACGACAATGTCCGATGTGTTGCGCTCC